ACGTTTTACCCTCATAAACAGACGCAGACCTGCATGAAGAAATATAAAGTATCATTTGTACAATTTAGAGATTTTATTATTTATTTTACCGTTTATTCATATTTACAGTTATTATATCTTATTAAACGTGTTTAACACTGAAGCGGTCAGTGAATGTCCATCACACAGGAGCTCATCTGTGATCTTTATATATTAATCATAGTGGTCAATCATTGTACATATTCATTATTGCGGCTCTTATTCAGGAAAAAGCTGAAGAAAATAAAAGAAGTTCCTAAATAAACTCTTTAAAGTGGATTTTTAGATGTGACGACGTTTTAAAACCATTTTAGGCTGAAAACTTAAAATACTGCATTTAGGAATTAATAATTAATTTGATAAAAATGTAGAAATTCTACATAAATCATTTAATATTTAAAATATTAATCATGACTGAAATTTGATCTGCAGAGTCATAAAAATATATTAAACTGTTCTGATAATTTATTAACATGAAACTGTTGATTTAAATTAAATTATTAATCTCAGTTTTTAATTTATTCACTGTAAAAATCTCAGTTCAACCTAAAAAAACTTAATTTGGTAACAATTTAATAAAGGATTTTATTTAACACAAACACTTTTAATGAAAAACACAAAGTAAAAGTTAAACTCAGAATCTGAAAATATAATTCAGAACTAAATTAAACTCAAACTGATAATAAACTTCAGTTTATTTAGTTTCACCTTTACTTTCACTGTTATGAAGTAGATTTTTTTACTGTTAAGATGATAAAAATGACAACAATAATAATAATAATAATAATAATAATAATAATTTGAGTGTTCATTCAAATTGAAATATTTAAACTTAAATATATATTTTATTTGTTTGTTTAGATAATTTGTTGAATTAATTCACATGATTATTTATATTTAACATTGGTCTGATTTGTTTGTGTTTTACATCATTAAGATGTTTCAAATGAACCTCAGTACTGTAGTTACAGTAGACGGTCAGACACACACTGATATAGAGGGATTTAAAGTCTCGCTGCATGAACAGCGTCTTCAGCTCTGTGTTTAGAGAGATCAGAGAGAGACGATCAGCCTGATTCTCTACCAGCTCAAACACACACACTCACACACACTCACACACACACACACACACACACACACACACACACACACACACACTCACACACACACACACACACACTCACACACACACACACACTCAAACACACACACTCACACACACACACACACACACTCACACTTACGCACACACTGATGTAGAGGGATTTAAAGTCTCCCTGCATGAACAGTGTCTTCAGCTCTGTGTTTAGAGAGATCAGAGAGAGACGATCAGCCTGATTCTCTACCAGCTCAAACTCACACGCTGAGAACATCATGGACTGAAGCTCAGATACACAATTTCCTGCTGCAGCTCTTCCACTTTACTCTTTTCTCTCTTCTGCTTGAGCAGAAATGTCAGATTATGTTAAAACATTGTTTGAAGTACACATTTCCCCATAGCTTTCATGGCTTTCACACAGAATTCTTTTATTTATTTGAAGCAGACTGTTGCAAATACTAAGTACAGTTGTCTTCAATTGGATTTAAAATATGACAAGAATGGGCTATAGTCATGTGCAAAAATGTGGACACCCCTAGTCAATACATATTTAGTTGTTTTTCTAAGTAAAAAAAGAAGTTAATTAAACTACTGTATGGAATAAACTTAAATATGGCATTTTTTTTTTTTTATAAATCTTGATGCAATCAGAATTTATTTGCTGAATTTAAATTTTCTAAAGAAATTAACCCATACAGGTAAAAAAGAACATGTACATACATATACAAAACTGGTCAACCTTTTAGTCAATCCGCTGGTGTTATTTTTTGTAAAGTTTTTGATTCAATCAAGTTAAGTGTATCCAGTTCCAGAGTGTAATAAATTCTGTGACCCTTTGAATCTTCTCAGGGTGTTATGCTAACACACAGCCAAGAGCTCATCTAAGTGGCTGACTGAGGATCTGAAAGTAAAGATAATTGACTCTTACAAATCAAAAGAAAACCACAAAAGATATCTACACACTTTCTGAAAAAATATCAACATCTGAATCCTGCAACACAACACTTGGACAAACCCATTTTGGAAGTACCACAGTTTGATGAAAAAACTGAACCCTTTGGCCACAGTGACCAAAACATATGTTTGGAAAAAAAAGGAGCAGCAGTTTTTAAAAAGAACACCTTATGATAAGCACAGGGGTGGATCTTTTATGCTTTGGGGTTGTGTGGCAGCAACTGGCACATAAATTGAGGGAGTAGAGGGAAGAAATTGGGATAAGAAGTGAAGAAGAAGTTGAACATTGTAACACAGTTTTTCTCAATTGCATAAAGATGTTCCATGCTGTTACACAGTTCTGAATATGTGAAGCCCATGTGTTTTTTTACTAGTGTCAGTGCAGCGAAACTGAATACAATTCACTGCAGTTCTCTCTCATTACTAACTGCTTATACACTTTTTGCAGAACACTCTATACATCTCTAACCACAATCATCCCTTATTAAATCTTTTTCAAACATAAAGGCAGAAAATGCATAAATTTAGAAATCTTGATTTTACATTTTACATTTAAACTGTGCAGTCTGTGATCTGTGCATTCTGTTGTCTGTCTACACTCACTTGCAACAAAATTTTACAATCACAGTCTTTACTGAAATGGAGGACAGTCAGCATCTCTACGTGCTCTTGTGAGAGACTCACTCTCCTCTGAGAGCAGATACTCCCTGTTGCAGAGAAGATGTGCTCTGATGGAGTGGATGGGAAAATGGCTAATGTTTGTGGCAAACCTGTTCTCTATGAACAGTTAAATTTGAATGAACATTTCATTTCAACGGTAACCCTTCATGGTGGCAAACATTCAAGGAAAACAGGAAACTGTTTATAACTGTTGCAAATGTTCTCCTGTGTTTGCCAAATTTGAATTTTGATGTCAAGACAACGATGCACTGTTTAAAAGTGTAAACATTACTTGTAATGCGAACAGTGTAGTATGAATAATAGTTACTTGCTTCTCCGTTCCAGCTCAATTAACGATTCAAGAGAGCAGCATTTCTAAATAGAAAATGTTACAGCTCATAACATTAAACAGGACGGCTTTTAACATTAACATTAGCTAACTAGCTCACTAGCACAACTATATTACAGAGATGAACCTTCATCCAGTGAGATGCTCCAGCATCAAGGATGTGCTCCCATGGCAGCTAAGGTCGGCTTTACAAATAGCACAACTGACAACCTTGTTTTCTGAGTTTAGTGTGAAATGCTCTCACACTTCTGAGGATTTTGTTCTTGAGGCTACCACTGCGCTTTTGTCAACCCTCCAGTGAGCGGTACTGTAAAAACGTTCCTAATGAGCATGAGAAACACCTGCGATGACATCACCAACTACATGACTATTAAATTAGTTGCCAACAAATAATTAGTTTTAGTCAAATAATTGTTGCACCTAATCACCCTGCTTCAGATTATGGAAGATGCATTTAGGAACATTAGAGTCAGGAACTGAACAGGACTGAAAAACACATTCTGGACATGGCCGTAACTAGCTATGTGAACACCGAGGTCCGGACCTCGGTAGAGTCAGAAAGATTTTTTTTCACTTTTGCCCATTCATGAAATTAAATGTAGAAACAGCACCATCATAATAATGTGGTAGTCTACTCAGGGCTATAGTCACGGTGTTACAAACCTACCCAAATGGGGACAGACTGTTTATTATGTGTCAATTTTATGCTATATGAAATTTGATTAGATTTCTGTGAGCGCTGTCACGGTATTACAACCAATCAAAATCTGACAAGCACCACCTTATTTTCCTCAACCTTCCAATTACTGCTTAGCTCACATGCTATAGGCTGACATATAACATTGTTATGATAAAAATGCAGCTAGCTAAGACTTTATGAGCACAATTAACACATTAAGATTGTAAAATGCAAACCCACTAAAACAAGTAATAAAGCCATCTATGTAAAATTCAGTAAATGTATATGAAGTTTATTTTCGTTGTCTCTAGTCTGTGTCTGTATTTTTTGTAGTCTAAAGACAGAAACAACTCACAGGGACTGAAGTATTTTCTCAGTTTCTCTCTGTATTGTGAAAAACCTGATTTATTACAGAAATTCATACAATAGATGTGTTTGGTATTTTGATGTGAAAGAGTTTGTGGTTTTGTAACCAGATGTTCATTCTTCTCTCATATGGGAGAATTTACTAAGTGTTTAGAGAATGTAATTACTTGTTTTCAGTTCCCACACACATATTTTCTTCATTTGGATTTATGCTCGGTTCTCTCCGAGATACAGTGGCTGCTTCACTTGTAGATGGCCCAGCCTTGATTTCTATCTTTCGTTTTGAAAGAACAATTAGTGAGCTCAAAATAAGTATGATGTTTTACTTTTGCAAATAATCAGCAATATTTTTTATATTTAAAACTACATTTGCTAAAATGCCTTAATAGTCCATGGGGGCCCCGGCCCACAAGTTTAAAACCAATACACTACATGTTTAAATAAAAGCTGCTCACTGCTGGACGAGGATCTAATTGATCTTCCCATAATGGCTTAACTGGGTATTATTTGTTTATAGATGGTAACAAAATTCTCCTGTATTTTTTACCTTACTGTGGGCTCTGAAAGAGAAAAAAGGCAAAGAACCACTTTCATAATCACAGTTGTCTGCATTTTGTCAGCATTTTGACAGTCTAGGTTTACTCAGTAATAAAAAGTCATTGTATTTTGGTGGCACTCACTGTAATCACTGATAAATTAAATTCTGAAGCATGACAAGTTTTTTGAGTGAATTATGTTCTTTTTCCAGGTAAAAATACTTAGTTGTCCTGCACAGTATAAAATTGATTTCGTGACTATACTTAAAGATTTGATCATTTCAACAGAAAATGTGCCAAAGCAATTGAAACAAAAGTTCCAAGTGTGTTTATACTCACCGCCAGTCTGATTGAAACGCTTCATCAGAACATCCACATTAGCTTTGAAGGTCTCCTGAGAACCCTGCATAATCTGTGTCTGTGAATTCCAATAATCTTCACCCACATTCTTCTCCATCCAGTCTGTCTTTGGGATCACTTTCTTGATGTCACTAGAATACAGCACAATCTGCTCTCCGTCCACAATACCAACAGCAGTGAACTCTGGGAAATTAATTCCTGGCGTGACTGCAGTGTAGAAGTTATGCAGAAAGTGGCTTTCTGAAAAAAGTAAACAGCAATTTAAATTATTGCGACAAAAACAGTTAGCATATATGCAGTTATGTTTTAACTGAAGTTTGGGGGGAGGAGCATGGCTGAAATCCCTCCTTCTTCCAATCTAGCACCCTATAAATTCACATCCTCACCTTCCATTCCCCACCGCCCCCCATCTCCCCTCCTCACAGTGATTAGATTATGTGTACCAATCCGATATCAGTCCTTTTTTTAAAAAAAATCATTTCTGTATACCTCACTTTGTCTAACATGAAGCTGTAACTAGAGCAACCGAGTAATAATAATGAAAATTATTAAGAATGAAGAATAAGAATGAAATATTCCAAAAATGTTGTTAATAATATGCTTCTGGATAATGCAACAGCAAAATAAACAGTAACTACAGTTCCAGTGTAATCTTTTCAGTGCCAAAATAAAGCTGTAAAATCTAAACATTCAAAGAAAATGTGATTTACCCTTATATTAAAAGTTGCTGTACTACTAGCAGCTGTATCAAGTGTAAAATACCTCTATATTGGAAACATATTTGTTATTAGCCAGCATGAGTGGTGCTACTTGTTAGCTGACGTTTGAATTCAGCATTTTTAAAATGAGGCAGCCTTATTATTCATTTCATACTTAACCACATTATTAGACTTTAGTTTAACTACAACTATTTTTTGTCTACATGAAATTGATGATAATGCAAATGTGTGAAATAGTTTTTCGCTTGCAAATCTGACACAGTACAGAGAAAAGTTCCTGAATGGGGTATTTATTCTGGTGCTGAAAAAAGGCCTTCTGCACCTCAGCGGTATGCGGCCAATATCGGCATGAAGCCACACACATGGTGGCACCGTGACTGTGGCTTTATCAGTGTACATAGTTTTTTTAAGGTGGAGAAAGGCAGGAGGTCACTCTGTACTCTTTCATTTTCGTTGTACTATACTGAGTTCGTCTGGAATTTAACTACAAAATATTTGGTGTCCATGGCTTCCAAAAGAATTGGGTTGGGAAAATTGAACTCTTCACTGAGTGTTCTGTTCACTGCTGCGGAACAAGTGGATCTCAAGGGAAAAAATAAAGTACAAAATGAAGGCGTCATTAGGGGCCCTTTAAGTAAAGAATATAATGTCCTGGTTATTTGTGTAAGAATATTAAAGCAAACAACAAAAAGTGTTAATAGTAATGCCCTTAAAATAGCATTAACAACAACAATAATAACTATTATTATTACTAGTCAGATGTTTTGCTGACTAATTAGTCACACCTCAAAGAAACAAACAACAATTATTTGTAATTAAAAAATAATAATGTCCTTCACATTCGACAGCAATAATAAAATTAATTACATTATTATTATCACTATGATCACATATATGTCCTATCCAATACCTTAACGTTTAATTAGCCACAACCCAAATAACGTCACCAGTAGTTAGGCAGACTGAACTTTCCCATGTTAAAAATGAAACTAATCCCACTTCTTCGTTCATCACAATAATGATAATAAAAATTATAACAATAATAACAATAATAATAATAATAATATTTCATCATTCGTAATAAACATGCTTTACAAATATCCGATGCATTCTTAACTGAATTAAAGACATAATTGTGAGTCTTCTTGAAGTATTATCGTTGGCGAGAAACACACCTCCAGCATACCATAAAAAAGAACATTTAATTAAAGAATGCTCACTGACTACAGAAGCTTTTTTTACAAGGTCAAACTCATTTAAATCATTTCAGTTACATCACTTTACTGATTTTAAGCATTTACTTTTTAGAACAATAACTGTAAGACACTTTATCTCTAACAATGTTGCATTGTAGCCTAGCTGCATACAAACACTTACAGTGAAGTTTTCATTCTATTATTTGCAAATAACTGTATTTTAACCAAAATTTTATATTCAAAACAGAGCAGTTTACTTACTCTTACGTTTCAGCCTTTTAACTGTCCTGTTGATGGGTTTCGGTGTTAAATATCCACAACCTCTTTATTTAGAGTAAAATTAAGCTGTGTAGTTAAACCAGTAACATCTGTAACAAATTGGGAATTCCTCTCCAATATGGATAATGTGATGTAGTTACGGCACTGCATTCATCGATATTTAACCTAGTCCTACTGTTCCATGAATTGCTTCATGCTTCAACGTTTTAATACTTGTTTAAAATGTTTCAGCTAGTTTCTATAAATTTTATTAAAGCATTTTCTACAATCAGGCTTTAAACCGTTTATTATAAGACTATGAACTGACCTGCCGAAGACAGCTGAAGTGTAAAAGCGAAGAAAATGAGGGACTTCATGATCTGCTCCATGTCTCACTGCAGAGTAACCAAAACTAAGGGCTGAACATGCCAGGAGGTGTTTATATAATTGAAATCTGACCAATGAGAATTCAGGATGCAGGAGCTCTGGCCAATGAGAAATAAGGAGTCAGTATCAGCGTCATCAGTCTCTAAGCAGAGAGGAGGAGAGCAGGTTGATACTGAAACTAAAAGACTGCAGATCACAGAGAAGCAAACAGTTCTATATTAAAGCAGAGCTGTAATTCACCTCCACAATTTAGAGTGTTTCTGATCTAACTGACCTAATGACAGGATTCAGGACAAGAAAATCACTTAAGTGTACAGAGCAGACTGAACTACAGGATTGAAAATGGAAAATTATCTGAAATCACTAACAAGTGACTAAAATATAGATAAAATATAACTTCATATATAAAATGAAAAAACGTGCATTGCAGGTAGTATGTACTTGGACGGTGTTTTTAGTTTTCACAGAATATCAGAATAGCATTCCTATTGCAGTGTCAGCATAGAAGAAGACATGAAGGCCATAATTTCTGCTCAGTGGAAGCTCTTTATTAAAACAGCCCACAGAAAAAGTCACTTCTCTCACACAGAGCAAGTGGCAGCCACCAAATAGCACCTCCCTCAAGGGTCAGCCATCCCAGTGACCTACACAGTCCAAACAAAGTCTCAGCCAACCACAGGAAGTGCCACGGGATGCCCGTTCCTTGGAGGCAGGTGCCCCAGTCCTCTCTTGGGGCCACGTCACATGTCACATGCCACTTCTCCCACACGGAGCAAGTGGCAGCCACCACAATATTCACTAAGTACTTTATATGTAGCTGGAATGAAATGGCAGGAATTTTGCAGGAATTTTGGGGTTACTAGTCAGGAGAACATAGAAACAGAGGAATCGGAGATAAAATACCATCACAATTAGAACAGTGAAACAGCAGTGTGTGCATGAGACATTACATTCAGTAACAATATGAACAAACACTACAGTGTAAAATGAATGCATGTAGATCAGGTTATTGTAGAAAGAGGTGAAAAAGTACAGAGATGCTGAATTTAAAGGGGCCATATCATAGAAAACCGACAACTAAAGATTTTGGTATGTATTTTATAAACACTGTTAAAAAGTTAAAATGTAGCCCAGAATGCTTTTTGAATGAGGGACAGGCAATCAGATCGGAGCATATTTACATATATCAGTTTTTAAGGCACACAAACAGCCTGTCATTACAATACATACATTTTCATAGCTATGCTGACAACACACAGTTATACATTTCCACTCCTGATGATCAAGACTCTGTAGACAGACTGACCAGCTGTGTGTCAGATATTTCTCAGTGAATGTCACAAAATTTCTTACAACTTAATGACAAAAAAGTGATATACTGATCCTTGGTACTAAAGCGCAGCTTCGTACACCAAACCTGAAGTAGGAAACCAGGGTTTGATCTTAAACTCTGAGCTATTATTATTATTATTGTTGTTGTTGTTATTATTATTATTATTGTTGTTATTGTTATTGTTATTATTATTACATTCAGAACAGTACTTCAGCTCCTGAGTGGCGCAACCGTTGGCCCTATCATCAGGAGATCATTGCGAATTCGATTCCTGGTTATGCTACAGCCGTCCGTAGCCGGGAGTCCAAGAGAGCACAATTGGCCTCGCTCTCTCTGGGTGGGTAGGATGGCCCCTCCTTCCCCCCCCCATCACTCAGCGCGATGCTAGTCAGCGCAGGCGTCTGTTAGCTGACGTAACAGATCTGGCGGTTGGCGCTTTCCTCCGAGCGCGTTCGGCTGTCCAGTGACGTTGCGTGAGCGGCAGTTTGAAAAGGAGCGGTGGCTTCACAGGTCTCGGAGGAAGCCTGTGCTGCCTTCGTCCTCCTAGCCTTGATAGCATCGTGTGATTGTGGGAGTCCTAACTAGCGGGTGGAATTGGAGATGACTAAATTGGGGAGATAATTGTGTTAAAAATCAAAAGAACAGTACTTCAGTACCGTCATACATCTAAGCTTCACTGCACGTTTTATCTGTTTACTCACACTCACTCATTAGCTTACACTCACCTCAGACTGTAAATGTGGGTTACCTCAGTGTATACAGACGTCTCCAGAATCTGCAGCAGCTGTTTACCTTGCATTGATACATTGGATTGATACATGAGAAATTATTGTGTATGAGGAACAGGCTGCTTTAAGGAGTCACATCTGCCATGACATACTTGACTTGGCACCCTAGATAAACACAGATAATCATGACTACTAATTTGTGAATCATTTCATGTCATTCGCTGTCCTCATCCACCTTAGTGAACCTGCTTTATTTCTAACACACAAATAATAAGAACTACTTAATGTTTGTACAAAATGCACTCAGAAGAAAAGGAGCTACGCTGGCTAATGTGCAGTTTATCTTTTGCATTCTCATCTGATATATGAGCGCATAATCTGAAATATAGCTGTCTACATTCACTGTTGTGACTGTGATAAGCATACCAATACAAGGCAAACTGAGCAGGCAAAAATTAGCATCTGTCTTAATCTGTAGCACTGTTTTTTCCCCCATATGCTCTGGAAAAGTGAGCTGCCTTTAGCCTTTCAGTGCCGTTTTATCCGCATAACAGCTCCTCTTCCTCAGCCAGTGCCTCTCTATTTCTGTAATGTTATTATTAAACAGTGGACAGCCACAATTTTAAACTAGGATCTCTCATTTACTCAAGAGCCAGCTTGTTTGCACAGCTAGTCTGTTAGCTAAGCCATCTAACATTAGCTTCACCCAACGAGTTACAAACACAGCCTGTCAGGTCTTGGTAGACAAGCAAACTGCCTAAATTTCACCACAGGAACCATTTATAGAGATCTACATATACAAATATGTTAAATGTGTTACATAAATATGACAAGGATACTATTTGGTAAATCAGTGCTTCTTGTATTTAGAAGACATATACAAAATATATATAGTGTGTGTATATATATATATATATATATATATATATATATATATATTACATATATTGTGATGAGGCAAACATGTTGCCCATCACCAGAGACTATACGTGTGTGTAATACTTACCTGAACACCTACCTGTAATACTCACTCATGTTGTCTGTTTCCTAACACCAGCAGCAAAGGGAGGCAGAGCAGACGGAGCTCACTCATGAGTGTGCCGGAGGGCCCACGGCTAGCTCATGAGAGGGGTGATGTCTCTACCTAGGGCACAGAAGACAGAGTGAGATAGACTAGTAAAAGTGCACACCGTATGAAACATCTTCCCGGTAATGTCATACATTAAGGCCTGGTGATGTGAGATTATGATTTTATCTACCCTTGTTTTTAATCCACTCTTATAGGACAGCAACACCCCTGCAGAGTGGAATGGTTTAGCTCAGGTGATGCAGGGGTGGGGCTAACCCTATAAGAGGTAGGGGAAAGGTGTAGTAGGGGGCTCGACGATACTCACCTCAGACTGTGAAGAGACTGAGGGGAAGGGAGTAAGAGCCAAGCTAGAGAGAATATAGTCCTATGGCCTTGCGGCCTAAGACTCCTTACCTGGACTGATCGAGTCAGGTCAACATTTTACCCACCACTTACTTTGTTTGTGCAGTTTTTCTTTTGTGTGTTTCCACCATGTAAATAAATCTCACTGATTGCCAAGAATCATCCAGAGTCGTCACATCTTCAGTCTGCAACTGCGTTCCAACACCCATTCAGTCACAATCTACCCGGTGACTCCGTGTCTCCTCATGGGGTCCGGCAGAGCATCGTCACATATATATATAGTAATACCATTGTTTTATTTTTTTTCTTTTTATAATTTTTACCCCGATTTTCTCCCCAATTTAGTCGTCTCCAATTCCACCCCGCTGGTTAGGACTCCCCCAATCACATGATACTATCAACGCTGGGAGGGTGAAGGCTAGCACAGGCTTCCTCTGAGACCTGTGAAGTGCTACCGCTTTCTTTTCGAGCTGATATGTCAGATCTGTTACGTCAGCTAACAGACGCCTATGCTGACTAGCATCGCGCTGATGGGAGGAGAAGGGCAGCCATCCCACCCACCCAGAGAGAGTGAGGCCAATTGTGCTCTCTCGGACTCCCGGCTACGGACGGCTGTAGCATCACCAGGGATTGAACTCACAATCTCCTGATGACAGGGCCAACACTTAGATGGTTGCGCCACTCGGGAGCCCGTAATACCATTGTTACTTGGTCTTAGAGGACCAACCCATATTCCCTCATTTTTGCCACTTTGCCATTTCATACCTTATACAAAAATAATATTTTGGTTAATCAGACTAAAGGCATTCTGTCTAAATTTACTTAATCACAAAACTATAAACAATGATATGTTACAATTCAGTGACTCTTCGTATTTTCATAGAGAAACATACGAAAAACTTCTGCAGTTGCTTAAAACTAGTCAAAATAAAAATTAAACTCTTAAAAGAGCATGTTGACTTAACAAATCAACGTAGAAAAAAATAAAACAAACAGTATCAAACTCCATACCTTCTTAAATGCTCAGTATGTTCAATATTTAGAAGAGAGTATACAAATGTATGAGTATGTTTTTTTGTTTTTTTTTCACAGAGGTACATACATCTGCATAAAGGGCTAGGCAAGAATTATACTGAGGACAGGCAAAGGATCAAACACTCATGACCTTTCTGAAGTTATAGAAAAACACATAAAATATAAAAGAACACAAGACAGGAGGAATGCCCTCTTGGGAATGCATTACATGTACTATGGCAGTAGTTGTAAAGTATAAAAAATGCCAGTGTGTAATTTCACTTTACTTCCCATGAGAGAAACCAAAAATAAAATGAATTACTACCAAGTGAAGTAAGCCCCAGTGGACTGATCATATTCTAATCAACTTCCCATTGATTAGGTTGAATAGAAAAGAAATTGCCATCAAAACCGGCTATGTCTTTCAAATACACACATGTCGTTTTGATGTCTGAGCACTTAATGAGTTGCACATTGTGAAAGATGGCATTCTCCTTAACCGGATGAAGTGGCTCCTGTC